GAGGTAAATAAAGAATAAATATAGCTGAAGATTGGAGGCAGATAAAAGGTAGGTTCGTGAATGGCTGAGGAGAGGTGTGCTTGCACATAAAATCTTATACCTTGAGTAGAACTTTGTTGGTCTTAAAGATGCCTCTGGACTCAAACTTTGTTTTGTATTTTACCTTGTGTGCACTTACAGCACTGGAATGTATGTCATAAAAATACCCACAGAGAGAGAGAGTTAGATTAGTAGAGGGAAGAAATCAAATCTTTTGAGAGTAGTAAATGCAATATCCACAAGGAGTGAAACCATGTTACTTGGATTTAAGCCAGCACAGACAGGGAAGAGCAGCAAGGAAGGCAATTCCACACAGACTTCAAAAATACTGTAAAATGTTTGATAAGGCTAAGGTTTTTCTCTGAGACTGATTTTGGTAAATTTTTAGCTGATCACTTTCATTTTCTGTCATATTGCTTGGTCTGTAATTTCCCTTGTCACTCAGATGCTGAGTCTGACTGGGTCAGGGGTGATTGTAAAATTCACTTACTTCCATGTTGTAGGAGGCTGTCACCAGGATCCTTTGGTAAGCATCAAGGTACCAGTTTACTGTATGCCTACAAAGGCAGTGTAGCTGAAAATATTTCTTGCCAATTTTAAATTTGCTGCTCCTCAAAATTCTGCCCACTGGTCTGGTCTTGCTATTCTTTGCAACTTGCATCCTTAAATAACAGACAAGATTTCTTGGTTTTCTATCCATACTGATTAATGTCCTGGAACCAAGTTTTGACAGTCTGTAAGGACCAGAGAAAGTGCAAACGATGTTGGAGCAGTTCAGGGACATTGTACATTTGATCAAAGCATGGATGGAAGGAAGGGAGGATTACAGGCTTTATTTCTGCAGCTCTCCTCCCCCCAGGGGGTAAACAGATACTTTCCTACATTATTACTTGCTTGCTTGCAAATAGTGTACTATTACTTTTATCAAATTCTTTGACCCCTGTGGCTGCATTTAAGGAGTACTGTGATGGAGGCTTCTACTCCCACCCTACAGACATCACACCTAATTTTGATTCCCTGCTGCGTATGCAGCTCTCTAGAGTTTCCAACCAGTGGGAGGCTATGGAATTGTCAGAGAGAGAGAGAGAAGGTTGGGGAAAGTTAGTGGGAAAATGGACCATAATGGCAAAATTCCTGCTCCTCAGATAGGGTTCAGACATAGTGCTAAGTAGATAGAGCTCAAACATTGATAGAACTAGGTGGTTAGGACTCAGGTGACTATAGAGAGGCAAGATTAGGTTAGCTATCCTGTGATAGGCAGGTTTAGTAAGAAGAACCATGCTAGATCAGACCAAGGCCCATCTAGTCCAGCATCCTGTTCACACAGTGAACAGTACCTCTAGGAAGTCCCCATACTGGAAGATTGCAGCATTATCCTGCCTGTGCCCCTCAGCAATTGATTTGAAGAGGCTCCCTCTGGTACTGTAGGGAGTAGATACCATCATGATTAGTAGCCATTGATAGCCCAGTCCTCCATGAATTTGTCCACTCCCCTTTCAAGCTCGACAGTACCCTTTTCCAAGTGCGATGACTGAATGGTACACAATATTCCAAGTACGGTCTGAACATAAGGGCAATATGATAACAGCAGTTTTCTTCTCTATTCCTATTCTAATTATGGCCAGCATGGAATCTGCCTTTTTCATAGCAGCCATGCTGATTTTTCATAGCATCATTTCCATCAAGCTATTCACTACCACTCCAAGGTCCCTTTCTTGAAATGTTGCTGCCAGCTCAGATCCCATTAGTGTATGTGTGAAGCTGGGATTATTTACCCCAATATGCATCACTTCACATTTGCTCATATTGAATCTTATTTGCCATTTTAATGCCTGTTTCCCCAGTCTGAAGAGACGCTTTTGGAGCTCTTCACAATCCCATTTTTGTCTTAACCACCCTCCATAATTTGTTGTCACCTGAGGTTACTTCAGAGAAATAGTATGTTAGTGACTTGTGAGGGGATTGAGGGGGAAATCCCAAGAGAGAAGCTAACACTATTTCAGGAGCCTGAGATTCCTGGGTTTAGTGAGCTGTTCCAAATAAAATCCATCCATCTCTCTCTCTAGCAAAGACAGCCTGTCATTTCTGTAACCTTGAGTGTGTGATACTGTAAATATCCTACAGTAGAACTGCAACTCTCCTTAGCTGTAAATAGTTGCTACACTGGGACCCCTCTTTTCTTGCCCACCGAATCACTCTTCATAAAATCTTCTAAAGAAAAGACAACAGGTTTATTCTTGGGTTGTTGAAAGAAGGTGTCAGTGTGAATCACTCCAGGAAAGGGGAGGTGGATAAAAGAGTAAAAATAATGTCAGATACTTGTACTGCCCACCCCATGTCCCATCTGTAATTACAGCATGTTTTTTTTAAAATATTAGCTTTATTGATGACTTGCAAACATGCAATAACCAAAACTGCTTGGTCACCGGGTGTGACAGGTGGGGGGACACTGCGGCAGCACCCTGCCATCACAGCTACAGTTCATTCATTTCCTCCTCCTCTACTTGTTTGACTCTTACAGTGCAATCCTATGCAGAGATACTACAGTCTAAACCCATTAATATCAGTGGACACTGTTAATCTCACTGCCAAAGCCCAAACATAATTTCCACACACAACCCATGTCTTTGAGTTTTTGTGTGCTGTTCGTTTTAGAATTTTGATGGCATTCAACGGAGGTGGAGAATTTCTTTTCTAAGATTGTGACTGCCATTGGCAGGATGATCAAAAGGTTTTTAATTGATTGCTCTTACTGATTAATTAACAAACCTATTAGTTAACAAGTACTTAAAACAAGTATCTGTTAGATGTTCCCAGTAGAGTGCCAGAGCATCCTTTCCTTAGCACTTAAGCTTCAATTTGCATGCATCTCCATTATTATCGGATGGTCCATTCCCCCTTTCCCATTCCTAATTGTCAATCCAATCTGCTCCAAATCACCTCCTCCCAAAGCTGCTGTTCTCTTATTGAAACAGTGCTGTATTTGCATGAATCCTCTGTTTCTGTCCTTTGTATGTAAATATTATTTGGGAGCCCACATCTTTTCCCACTGGATGGGAAAGCAGCTTGACTAAACCAACATGAAGAGGGAAAAGGTTTGTCAGTGGCCTCTCCACTCACATTTCCTTTCCTCTGACTCTTTTAATAACTCCCCCCAAAAAACTGTCAGTGGAAAAAGGCACTGTATCGTATCTAATTTGACCTTAGCCACAGTTCCCTACTGTGAATAATACAAATGTGTAAAAGTACAGCTCGGCATCCATATACGTTATGGAGTTGTGTGGTGGTCCTGCCTTGCATCACATGTAAATACTTTGGTAAGGTAAAAGGTAAAGGTTCCCTTGCTCGAAAGCCAGTTGAATCCGACTCTAGAGTTGCGGTGCTCATCTCCGTTTCAAAGCCGAAGAGCCAGCGCTGTCTGAAGACATTTCCGTGGTCATGTGACCGGCATGACTAAACACCAAGGTGCACGGAATGCTGTTACCTTCCCACCGCAGTGGTACCTATTTATCTACTTGCAATTTCTTGCTTTCGAACTGCTAGGTTGGCAGGAGCTGGAACTAGAGACGGGAGCTCACTCCGTCTTGCGGCACCCAGGTCTTGAACTGCTGAACTACCGACCTTCCATAGCCTGCAGTTCAGCGTCTTAACCACTTGAGCCACCACAGCTTTGGTATCACTGGATAATTAATTGGTAGTGCCCAAGCTTTCTGTACTATACTATACCTACAATTTGTCTTTGGACAGTGCTTCCATGTGAACCAGCATTAATTACAAATAGTTTCTATAGACTATTTAAATCCACATATCTGAATGCAACCAGCCTTTCGCTAGGGTGGTTTCTGTGTCACCTAGTATTGTCTGTCAGCTTAAATTGAACATGGATTGATGTATGTTAATTCTCATGCGTGTGTGTGTGTCCACATGAAAACAGGCACACATTCTTTGTGCTCTTTTGGTATACTCCTTCTAAACCTTCAGAAAGAATGCTTATACTTTGGTTATCTGAATTTCTTATTTCTGTACATTTACTGAGTCTTTCACAAAACCTCTTTTTGGCATAAACAAATGCCTGGAGTTCTCTTCTTTATCTGGTTACAAAACATCTTTGGACTTCCCTCAGGCTCTTCAGCTAAATGAGGTTATGCTGTGATTGTTTCTTTAAATCTGTACATAAAGATATATCATGAGGAGGAAAAGGGAAAGCACAAAATCTGTAATTGGGTCAATGTTTTGGAATTTACCAGTGTCAGTAGGCTAATACAAAGCCATAAATAATAAATCTAACTTTTCCTGGAGTGTAGTTAGAGCAGTAGAGAGTATTGGATTTGCAATTGGCTACAGTTCTAGGGGCTTTCAGCCAAGAGAAATCTCTCCAGCTACTCTCTGCTTGATGGTTCCCAGAAGTGCTGTACTTATCGATCTTTTTATATTATCGATCGTATACAGTATTTTCATCTTCACATTTTCTTTTCTTTTCACCGTAGTACTCCGTATGGACTGCTCTCTGGGTCACATGGAATGTTTTCATTATCTGCTTCTATTTGGAAGTAGGCGGGCTTTCAAAGGTAGGTTCATATTAATTCCTAACTTGGGGGAAGTAGTGTTGTTTGGATAACAATGTTATGGGAGAACTAATTATTTGGTAACATACTATTAGTAATGCAGTGTTCTTTAACTGGTGGTGCAGCAGTTTGTCCATTTATGTATGGGGGCTCCCTTATCTACTGGTTTTGTTGGTGCAGTGGGTGAACATACATGGTACAGAGTAGGTAATGGAGGGAGTTAAAATGATTCCTACAGCTGTATCTATGCTTCAGGTAAGGATGTACTTCTTTGATTAATCAGCTACGGCTTTTTGTAGGAATTTCTTAGTGGTGGATAGCCTCTTAAGTTGAGATGCAGTTGGGGTGGTCCCAGCCTACCAGATTAACTTCATTTTCCATTTGCTGCTCACTTATTGTTAATGATAGGAATCACTTTACATCCTTGATTTTTCTCTCACCATGGCACTGGTTCTGTTGCATTTGTGTATTAGAACAATTAAACAAATCATAAGGGGGAAAAGTGCACAACAATAATTGAAATTACTTTATTCTAGTAAAATGCATGTCCAGACAGCAACATCGGCCTTCCATTCTCACCTGTCTTTGAGCTGGAGTTATTTCATAGAATCACAGAGTTGGAAGGGACCTCCAGGATCATCTAGTCCAATCTCCTGCACAAGGCACCGGGGAAAGTCCAGTCCTTCCTGGTGTCAGTGGTCACATCTCCAGAAGTGTGATCAATCCATCGTGCTCTCAAGCTGTTTGGGAAGTCTGAATGTTCCCTTCCAGTTTGGGGATTTTTTGAGGCAGTTAGTAAGGTGCGCATAACTGCATATTTGCACCTCACTCACTCTCATAGGAGCTTCTCAAAACTGTGTTTTCTATTTTAAAAAAAAACTTCCAAAGAAAGATCCTGGACTTCCAGGTGGCACCTGGTATTTTTGGCCACTGTGTAACAGAGTGTTGGACTGGATGGGCCTGATCCAACATTGGCTTCTCTTATGTTCTTATGCCTGTGTTTTTCAGCTTTTTTCTATGCTTTGTGGCATGTGGGGTGGGGAAGGGGTTACTTGAAAATATGAGGATTTTTTCAGAGAGGGAGGGAGGGAGGCAGTCTGAGAACGATGCCCGTAACTCCAGCTTCGCCTCAAGCTTTTAAATAAAAATGCCATCAGCACACAGGACGAGGCTTCTCTATTCTCTCCCCATGGCTTTGAAACATTTGAAATGTTGCATTTTTCACAAGCACAGTTTCAAAAATACTCCCCTCACACTGCATGACATATCCCAGCAGCCTCCACCAGCAATCCCATTGGCCACCAGCTGCCGCCATCCTGCCAGGAGTTTGAAGCGGTGCTTCCTATAAGCACTTATTAGCATGCTCAGAAGACAAATAATTTCAAAAGCTGCCCAGCCACCCCACTCCATGGCTGCTGTGTCTGATTGATCAACCACGGTGTGAACATGTGGTGCGGTGGGTTGGGGGATGTCTGATTAAAACCTTCCATTACAAAGAAACCTAGATAAAATAGAGGCAGCACCAGACCACTCTAAGCCTGTTGTCTGTTCACAGCTATACTTCTTCAGCTGCATTGCAGACTCAACCATTCCTCAGTCAAAATTATCTTTTTCTATATCTTCTTACCAAATGAAGTGGGGTGGGTGATGACCAGAGATGGGGTGACATGTTGAAGTCCCATGCCTTTGCAACACTTAGCTCTCCATAAAATTTGCCTGGTGCTTTCAGTATGTATGTTTTAGTACCAGCTGAGGACCATTTGATTGCATTCTATTGTAGGCTGAGCTGACTGATGCTCTGGATTTTGCATGAATTTAGTTTATTAGGCAGAATGGATACAAAGGTTTGTATGCATACATATAGTACTTTCTCATCGGTGGTTTTGCAGAAGTTATCAGAATTCATAAAGTCGTTGCACTTTCACAAAAGGGAAATACTGTTGGTACATGTGTGCTTCTTTTGCTTCTGCTCATTGCTGACTGGTGAAACTAAGGATTCCCTCTCCTTTAGTGTCTCTTGATATATTTATTTATTTATTTGTTGTATTTATAACCCGCCCTCCCCGCAAGTGGGCTCAATATATGTATGTTGTGTAAATAAATCTTACCAGCCTGAAGAACGGAAATGGAAAACACACATGAATTGATATAGGGTTGCAGTGCTCATCTCCGTTTCAAAGCCGAAGAGCCAGCGCTGTCCAAAGACGTTTCCGTGGTCATGTGGCCATGCCTTTAAAAATTGAAAAAAATGTAATATGCTGGTAAAATGAGATTAATGCTGCCCCCCCACCTGCCTCTCCTACATATTCCACTAGGTTGCATAGCTTTCAGTACTTTTCTTCCCGCCCAACTCAGATAGCACAGGTGAGCCAGGCTGAAAGCAATGACGAACTTCAAGGTATGGTGGAAATGGCAAGCCTTAGCTCCTCTCACCTGTGCACTCCTTATTATTGAATAAGCATGCATATAAATGGCTCCATATTGAATGGAGCTTATAAAAACATATACATCGTTCCTCAGATCTTTCTGCATATACACCAGAGCTAGTGCAAAACTGCAAGCACTGTCATAATTTGACTCTACGAGGTCTGAGTCAGAAAGTCCCTGCTTCAGACATTTTACTTTTACTTGAGTTGATGAGCATGCTTCCTCTTCCTCTCTCAGCCCCACCTACCTCACAGGGTGTCTGTTGTGGGGAGGGGAAGGGAAAGGAGTTTGTAAGCCACTCTGAGATATCTTCGGGTAGTGAAGGGCGGGGTATAAATCCAATCAATTCTTCTTCTTCTTCTTCTTGTCTCTGTTCTCACCAGAAGCACAGCATGCTCAGCAGAAGGTTCCTCCTTCCAAATCTGCTGACTGACACAGTGCCATACAATGTTCCCTCTAAGCTGTGGAGTCTTGCGAGCAAAAATTCTACTTTATGATCTACTGGCATTAAAGTTGTGAGCAAGTGATTTGGGTACTGCATAAATTAGTTTGCTCTAAAGCCATCCTTACTGAGCTAAGACAAAAATGTGTGAGCCAGAGGCTAAAAAACTGTGAGCTAGCTCACACTAACTCAGCTTAGAGGGAACACTGGTGCCATACCATACCAGACTATTCCTACAGTATGATTCCAAAAAGGCCCTATACATCTCTTCCCTCATACTTTTGAATATGCTATTGGAGTGTTAATAGGTGTGCCTCACTTATGCAGCTGCATTTCAGAGGACTTAATTAGAAACACTTTGCAGATGGTGCCAAAAATAAGAGTTTTGTATCTTCCTGGGTGACATTTACAATGATTTCATGGCATTGCATAAAAACAGAGTGATAAAACAACAATATTACTTTTAAGTAGAAAATTCATTTTTCTTTTATTACCCCATGATATTCTATAACTGACAGCCTTTCTGGATTATCTTTCTGGCATAAATGAATATGGTAGAACAAAAATGAGAACAACCACAAGCCTCTGTGCTAATGGTGGCAAAGGCTTTTGCGTGATAGAAAAGAAAGGAATGTGGTTTCCTTCAAAATTTAAGCTGGCTGTCAAAGAAAACTACTGGAACTGGCACAGCTGTTAGTTCTTCAGCCAGAGAGCAGAGAGAGAGGAAATCACCAGCCTGCTTTAGAGCACACTCAGTAGCAGAAGTATCAGAAGTAGCAAAAATGAGTTTCCCTGAAGGGGGTGTGGATCTCCCTGACTCTTGCCACTGATGCTATCAGAATGGGGTTTCTGCAGTGGTCAGCCTCCAGGCATGGATTTGTGCATTGCAAAGTATGGAGTGCTGCATTGCCTGAAATTGCCTCGATGTAAAAATCACATAATTTGCCTTATAGTTTTCTAGCCTCCCTCCCCCATCTCTCACTTTCAATGTAAGCACTACTATTTGTTCACAAGGACTTTATAACCTCAGAGGTCCTTGAATGAATCAGCCTGTAGGTGGGCTAACCTTGCAGGTCAAGTAGCTACACAGTAAGTTTTAATCTTTATTTTATTAAGGCTTCATGATACAACTCCCTGAGGTCTTCAGACAAGATGGCAGCTTTTTGCTGTTCTGCCCATCCTGTTCTGTTTGGTCTGCTTGTCCTGTAACTGAAAACTGAGGCCAGGACTGACACGTTTGTATTATGTTCTGTCTTGGGATTGGGTCATTGTTGACGTATGATATTTTATCCTCCTTATAAGTGAAGGTTGGATTTCTAGAAGGAAAACAAAACACACGGAGGATTAGGCACGCTAGAGAGACGGAAGATAGGTGGATTTTCCGGGCGTGATCTCACCGCTACATCTGGGAAGCGTAGAGCTCCCGTGGCTCACCCGAGGCTTCACTCCGAAGATGTGCGGTAAAAAAACTAGTACCTCGGAGGTACTAGCTTCCGGAAACCGCAGGGCAAGGGCAGGCGCGTGATCACGTTTCCAGTGGAATCCCATGGCATCCAGCGCCCGCCCATGTCCCCTCGCAAAAAGTTTTTTTTTCAAGTGTCCTCGGGATGCGCACAAGCACGCAACGGGGCATGCGCACACGTCGGTGTACAGAAAAAAACCCACCTGTTTGCCGTGGTGTGCCGCTTCTTTGCCGCACCGCAGGATTGTGGTGTGATCGGCACCTCCCCCCTACCACGGGACCTCCACGGGATGTCTGCTCACACAACCACCCGTTATTTTGCCCCGGGGCAAACAGCCATGCTTCCCCCCCGCATTTTCCTGTCCATGTGACCGCAGCCCATATTAAATACAGGTTTTCTATTCAGCTGAGCCAAATTGAAGAACAGTGAAGAGATACCTGGGTAGTTCATTCTCTTTTTCTGATGTACCTATTGGTGACAGCTGGTGGCAACTCCATTTGTATAGCTGTCACCAAGAAATACTGGTTGTTTAATCCAGACAAAATGGTGTACAACATGATGTATAAGAGGTTGTCCCTGAAGGTAGGCTAGAAGCTTCAGCTAGTCCAAAATATGACAACCTATTTCTTAACAGGGAGTCACAACAATGAACACACAACTGTTATCCAGAG